TAGTAGTAATAGTAGTGCTGGGTTTAGCTCAATGAAAGGTTGCTTTCTCAGGCACAAATGTCCAAATGTTGTATTTCAGTAAGAGGAGAAAACATTTACAAAAAGGACCCACATATAGGATTATCATTTTTCTTTTTAAATAACATTAAAAATAAAAATAGATAAATATTTATAAGAAATATAAATATACAAAAACCTAGGAGCAGTATAATATGACAAAATCCTCTGAGAAATAAGATATAAGACATATGAAGTATTGGGAACTAAAGTGGAGAGCTGTGCATTAAGTAAGTCAAAGGTCATCCCACATTGTCTTACATAGACATATATGTTCTGTATAACTTTGTTTTGCACCAGCTAATGTGCTTTTTCTATATACACTTCCTTAAAATTCAGCCTGACATATTTACTATCTTTGGAAACCTTGTTGTATTTACAAGAATCTAGGAGGTTTATGGATTTAAAGAAAATAAATGTGTGACTGCACGGCACAAGTTTGTAGGGACTGTCCTACCGGCGTGTTTCGAAATGTATTTATAACATTGAGCTCAGAAAAAGACCTTTAGCTATCAGCCTCATCGTGACAGTGTTGATGTGAAGAATTGTTAACATTCTCATGACTGTTATCTTATTTTGATTTGCATTTTACCGAACTCTGATTGGTGCTCAAAGTACATGACGTAACCTTTTATTCTAACTTAGCCTCACCTATTTTAAACCAGTTAAAAAACAAAAACACAAAATATAATGTGAAATCATTTTAAAAAATCCAACATTTAGACAAATATTTATTTGTTCATGTAAGACCCAACAGTGCTCATACTAGGTTAAATGTAAGAAGAAGAATTAACCAGTAAATGCACTATATGATTTGCTTTTATAAAAACATTATTTGACGATAACTTTAGTTTATAAAAAAAAATGTAATGCTCATAATAATTGTGTGTAGTGGATTTTGCTTCAGAAGTAATGACAACATTGCAAGTGTTTTTCTGATCCACACCTTAAACCACCTGCAAGCACATGCTTGTTCCTTATTTCCATTATCACGTGTGTGACATACTAAAGCCTGACCTTTGTCAGGTTAGTAACTTTCTTTAATAAAGTTTACCCTAGATTTGATTGCTGATGTTGTAGGCTGAGACAGCAGTAGCTGTGAAGTAGAATTCACATGCCTGAATATCAGAAATAAGGACTAATGATAACAGCCTGTGGCCAGAGTTGACTGAGTGTCAGTTGTGGACCCACCCAGTGCAGTATATTGTTCCTAGTGCTGCCAAGCTGGACTGTCAGAGCAGATCTGGGAGAACGGGTCTGACCGGAGCGCCGGCAAGCTCTACACCTCTCTCTCCTGTCCTCTGCCTCCCCCTGTTTCTATTCTTTCTCTCCTGCCTCCCCTGTGCCTCCCTTTTTAATTTAAACACCAACCACGCAGCAGCAAGAACGGCTGCGAATCGCCTTCTGCTTCTGAGGCATGTAGCATTTTTACATTGTGTATGTGCAGTTGTTACAGGCTAAGTATTTTACCCTGACCATTGCTCACACACACAAACACACACACAATGTCGACCATATGTTGATTAGCATCTATCCACATCTGCAGATATATGTTAAGAAAGCTGACCACAGAGCTCAGGAGGTTGAACCTCTGCATTAAGTGTCAAAAGAAGAAGTCACACAGCTGTGAACAGTCCATACTGTGGGGGTCAATGTAGGATTATGAAAGAAACGGGCCAAGTTAGTAGATAGACAACGTTTACATGGCATCCTACGTTTTTGAAGGAGGTTTGCATTGCATGGCTGCTCCCCTCTCAGCAGCAATGTGTCCTTGAGCAAGGCATGTGACCTCTGATTTCTCAGCGGCCTGTGGAGGCACTGAGCAGGTGTGAAACTGTGTGTAACTGGATGAATATGGACCAGTGCGTTGTGGCAAAGGCATTCATGTCCAGTGGATTATCCCTTTAAAAATAAAGAGGACTAGAAGAGCAGAACTCCGCCATGGCAGAATGCATCACGCAATGTGAACGGAAGTGGAAAATAGTTAGTATTTTGGCCCCATCATTTGGATCTGCTCCAAAATATAATGTGCTTTTCCTTGGCATATGCTACACCCTTCCTTCAAGTGTCATGAAAATCGTGGTGAATCGAGGTCAACATAAGTATCTCCGACAGAATTGACAGCTTGTTGGAGAGCCCTCAATAAAGAAAATGTGTTTATGTTTACCTCTGCCAAAGGGAGGTTAAGTTCTCGGCTCAAATTATTTACTTGTCAGCAGATTTTATGCTACAAACAACTGGCCAAATTCCCAATGATACTTGGTGAAGCATGGGCTAAGGAAGCACCCATTCAATGTTGGAACGTTTCCGGGGCTCATATACACATTTTGTCACTTTCTTTAACGTTGCAAGATAGGGCATTTATGCTGCTTTCATGGGGAGTCAGAATAACTCACCTGATGGCCCCTCTGAAATCAGAACAACATTACATGTTGAATGAATTCAAACATGTTTGTTAACCGTAAGAGAACACTGTTAGGCAGAGTATGTAAACTAAGCCCTGAAGGTATGACTGCACATTTTTACCGAGGCACACATGATGAGACACTACACGAGCCAACTTTAGCAAACATGCTTTTGTTCCAGCTTCTCAAATGTGAGAATTTACTTGATTTCTCTATTTTATAGCAACATGGATAGGTGTATTTGCAGATTTTATATCATTTTATAGCCCAAGAAAAACCCAAAAATCGAATGAAAATGGCATGTTGCACCCTTATAGAGTGAAAGTAAGAAAGTAATACTATCAGTAAGCATTCAAATGTAAGATGAAAGGTCTTCAGATTATGTTCTTTCTTTGTTGGGATGTTGGAGGGATATCAAGAAAACACAATTTGTTGTTACTAGAGAAAACAACGGCAAAATAGTAAGACATGTTTTCAAATCTGACATTTTAGAGTGTCATTGATGTAGAATACATTTAGTCAAACACTTGCTTGAGCTGCAGGGAGATGTTGTTTGTGAGCTTAATTCAGCGCAGTGTCTGTGATGGGACCAGCCTACTTTGTTACTTCAGTGGCAGATCCTCCCCCCCCCCCCCTTCCTCTGTAATATCCAGGCAAGGTTTCTAAATTGGCACGCTCCCTAAAATAGCACAAGGGGATGGTTGTATCAGATCGTTTATGTTTGGAAATCTGACGGTCATACCAGTTTATTTGCGTATAGCAGGACAAGTGTAGGGTCAAGAAAAACATACACAGTACTTAATACATTTTTTATTGACGTGTTTTTGTAAAATAATCTCTTCTTGTTGCATAACGTAACGTTGTGTTCTTCATACATTCACATTTATCCTTCTGACTTTACCACATTACTCACACAAGTATTCTGTTTCTGCTTGTTCCAGCACTTGAGGTTTTATGGGTGAAATATGAACCCAAAATGTGATAGATGTTATGACTGCGACATGTCTCCATGCTTTAATGCTCCAAAAGCTCTTTATTGTTCTCATACTGCCTGTGCTGCAGCACCTCTTTTCACCCTCTGTCTGAAACCAGAGCCCAGTGTGCTCTGATTGGTTAGCCGTGGCCAACCGCTTAGAGATGTTCAACCCCTTAACCTATCACGTACAATGTTTTGGAGCGCTAGCCAATAGAAGGGCGAGTGTTGTATAGTGATGTCATTATGTTACAGAAGTAGACAAAGGAGTCCAATAGAGGCGAGTGTGTGGGACGGTACTTTGTGATGTTAACCTTTGCAGACCATGTACATGTACAAAAACCCCAAAAGCATACTAAGACCCCTTTCAAATCTTGAATTTAAGATGATGTTGTTTTAAGCATGAATTGACAGAGTTTATACTCCACAAACACAATTCTGCAGAGGAATAACTTACTGACTTACTTTAAGAAGTTACTCAAATGAAATTACAACTCGTCGCTGTAAGATACGAGCTCCGTGCATTTTTCTTGTTGTTCTTTGCTGCCACCTGTCCTGCTTTCATCTGCCCGGCCCCTCTGTTTGAGGAGGATGGAGCGATGGATGGAGGGAAGGAGGAATGACAGCAGGATTAACTGTGCTGTGTTGTTGCTGCAGTTCACACATTCCAGCAGGCCCATTCAGGCCAACTCACAGAACCAACACAGAGGCCTCCTTAACCCCCTTCTGTCCTCTCCTCTGGCCTCTCCCTCATCTCCCGCTCTGACTCTCATCGCTGCATCCCTCTGCTCTACCCACTCTCCTCTTTTGCACCACCGCTCGATTTGCAGTCCCATCTCTTTTGAAACGTGTAAAGTTTGTAATGGTGAACAATCGAGTTCAAACTAAACATGTTTCATCCCACAAGTGATGCAGAGCCTCTCCAGAGAACAATCACTGATGAACACTGCTCCTTGTTTTGACCATAGGCTGTTAACTGTATATGTGAAGGTTTTGACCTGTGATTGTACCGCCCTCTAGAGGACAAACTGTGTCATTTCATACACCCTGGAAGTCAGGCTTCCAATGCAGTCTTTCTTGAATATGAATATTTGTAATCAAGGTATTTTAGAGCTAAAAGTCAATGAGTTGATCCACAGAAAGTTCATAAAGATTTCTCAAATGTGAGGATTTGATGCTCAGTTACTATCTTTTATCTTTAGGTTTTACATTTTTGTTTTGTTGACATTTTGACAGGTATTTTTCTATTTTGTTGTTGTTGTATTAACTGAGAATATATCATTAATCTTCAAATTAAGTGAAAATTCAAGTCATTGGTTGTAACCCTAGTTCTGTTGTGATGTGAGGATATGATGCGATTACCCTAGAGTTTCTGGACCCTCAAAATTCACGTCACTAAAAGTGGACTTGTTTTTGGGTGTCACATTATGCTTCAGTGGCCTTACATCTTTAGAAAGAATAACAATCTTGGGGAATCTGGTTGAAAAATATCAGTTGTAATGTTAATATCAAGCAAAAAACATACAATCATTAACCATGCCCTTGTTTGTTGCTCTTTTCTTCAGGGGCGAGTGGAGGTGGAGGCCGGCAACGAGAACATGAAGTTTGAGACCGGACCTTTCTCCTTCTACGGAGTCATGGCGCTCAATGCTCCCACACTGGGTGAGTCTTCAAACTCCTCCTTCTCCTGTCCTGCAAATGGCTTAATGAAATGTAATTGCACTGTTAATTCATCTAAAAGGGTTACATTTGAATGTTCAGTGTATTGTTTCAGGTGTAAATACAGGTACTGTCCCCTGGTGGCAAGATATTGGACCAACATTTTCACAAGAATAGTATTCATTTGAAAACAGCAGCACATTTTCGAGACAAACCAAAGATTTTTTTTTTTTTTAAGAAGATTATAGGTTTCGATTTGAGTTCACTGAGGGGTTCATGGGAATTTAGATAATGTTCCTGATGATCTTTGAACTCCTCTCCATCCCACTCCTCTCTCTCTCTCTCTCTCTCTCACACACACACACACACACACACACACACACACACACACACACACACACACACACACACACACACACACACACACTTTCACTGCCTTAAAATGCGATGAGTCACTCTTATGTTTTGTCTCTGCCAGTTTCCTCAGTTTTGTGTCAGCTTGTCCTCGCTAGTCCCATCTCTTTCTGATTCTTTTTTCCTACTATTCTATTTATTTTATTCTGTGTGGTGTTTCATAGTGGACGACAACCTCTTACCTGTAGGGTGACTTATTAGGCCCTAAAGAAATAAAGATAGCACTGAGTACCTGGTCAGATTTCAGATATTTACTTTGAAATTGAACACAACTTAAATCGTTGAACAACTGTTTTGTTTTAAAAACCCTTGGTGGTTTTTGTAGAATAAAAAATTGGGTTTTGTAGAAAAACCTTGATCATCATTTGTCCAAATGATATCCGAATGAACCAAGTAAATAGACACATTATTGTTTCTGTAGGTGGAGCAAAAGATTAAACATTGGCTCCTCGGATCTGATCTGATTATGGAAAAACAAAAGGAATGATACATTGGGACTCACCATGTGTGACTGAAACCAGCATAAAAGCCTCATTGGACACAGAGGCCACAAGTTGTTCCTTTCTTTTTGTTTCTCTTTTTCACCTCAACATGGAGAAGGAAATGTATGAAGCAGAACTCTTCATTTTACAAACCTTCCTTCAATCATTCACCCGTTTCCTCAGCCTCCCGAGCGTCAGTGTACATCTTAACCTGATGTGTGATGTTGCAGTTGGTTGTGCATGTCCTCGTCTGTCTCCCTGTCTCCCACTGTCTCAATCACTCTCCCTTCATCCCCCCCTCCTCCCTCTGTCCTGTGGTTCTCCTCCTCCTCCTCCTCCTGCTGCCTCCTCCCTTCTCTCCTCTCAGTGGCTGCACCTCGTCTTCGCCACCTCACCATTAAGAGGTTTTCTCTGTTCTCTTGGTTGCCAGGTAAACTCCGGCATGTCTGGGTCCTTTCACACTGAGGACAGGCGGGGACCTGGGGGGGGGGGGGGGGGGGGGTTGGTGGGGCTTCAGTGGGTGGGCAGGCCTATAGTTCTTGATATCACCTGTCAAAGGGTAAATAAATGTCTCATCACAGAGGGCAGACACATCTGTGTAGCGACCCTTAAGGGAAAGTAAATATGTACAAGACAACAGCTCCTTTATGGCTAATAGACTCCTTCTTCAACCAATCTGAATCTCATGTACACCTGGCTTTACTGAGCCAACAGTTTATTTGCATGAATTTGGAAGATCATGTGAGTAGGACGCAGGGAGGAAGTGCTAAATCCATTTATTCTGTAACAACACGTGTAGGTTGAGGCCAAGTTACTGTACATGCACTGATTTAAATGTCCTTTGACTGCTCGGACTCTAGTAGAAGGCAAACAATAATAAGTAACAATGGTTTACTTTATGGTTTCTCTCTTTGAAAAAAAATCGATTTAATTACTAATAAAAACACAAAAAAATCACTCATCAAAGGTATTGTGGTCCAGTAAATAACAACGGACTGCAGTGTAGAAATGTCCAACACATGTTGTCAGTGTTGCCATTACATGCTTTGTCCTACAGAGGGCGCTGACAAGTTTGACAAAGTTGGAGCTTAAACAATTTGTCTCTTTTTAACAGATATATATAATTTTCTTTGTTTTAAGCCTCTGAAATGCAATGTTATACAACCAAAACAACAGCACCGTTGGTAAGTTTCAGATGGTGTTGTCCTCTGTTTGTTTTACAGCAGTATTTTAGTCCAAGATTAGTGTAACTATAAATCAACACGAATATTGGAGAGAACTTGAAGCTATTGATAGTGGTTATTGTTGTGTTTGTTTGTTTGTATGTCCTGAAGATCCAGTCGGTAGTCTACCTTATGTTTAAGTTTCAAGACAGAAAAGTATACATATTTAAAAAAAATCTGCATTAGTATTTTGTATACAGTCACTCCACTAAGCACATTCCTGAGAGTTCTTATACTTAATCAGCATTTCAAAATAAAAGCTTTTTGATATTGTAATAGTGCAGGGCCTGTAGCTGTATCCACCTTCACTCGGAAATCCTCAAGGTCACAGGGACTTGTGGCGAAAAGATAACGGATACTAAGATATGTTATATTGTGCTGAGTAATGTTAAAGAAGCAGAAATAGGGGACATCAAGAAAGTAAAAAACTGCACTTGAAGTAGACAGCATAATGCACTCTTAATTAATAAGGAAAATACAAATATTCAATCTCATTTATCATGTTTAAGTTTACATGACATAAAAAGGGGACTTTTTCTCTGTCAAACAAGTGCTAATCGTAGCTTCAAAAGCTACTTTGGGTGCTTTGGCAAGGAAAGGAGCAAGAAAGGAAAGTTTCCAACTGGATCTTAAAGGATTCTGCCTTGAAAATCAACATAATAAATATTGTCTCAGGACTAATTGAATTCTAACTACTAACTAGAACAGTAGCTGTAGATAACCAGTATTAACTAGCTAGCTTAATTCATTGAAGCTAATGCAGTTGACGTGTCCAGGTAAAACAGTTTCCTATGACTCACTGAGGCCCCCTGCTGGAAGACTCACAGCTAACGGTAATAATTTACAGCAGCTGTTAAAGAGCATGAGTGTGAAGTGTGTGTGTGTGAGACTTTTGGTCGTTTTGTACGGATAAACCAAGCATGCCAAAATAAAGGCAAACTGTCTGCTGGGTGACACACATGAATGTTAGTCACCGTGGTTTCAGCATGTCTGAGAACAAGTGGAAAATAACTAGCTAACTAATGGAAGTCCTTTCTATTGTTATGTCATTCTATTATCAAGAAACGGTCATTACTGATGACTAAGATGTCTTCCGGGAAAGCCTTAACCTGCTGAAAGCAATACCACCTTTGTTTATAAATGTTTTGAGACACGTTTCATAAAAAAATGATATTTTTTCAGTTTTATGTAATTGATCCATTTTGATATTTCGCTTTGGGATGTTGTGATCAGCATGACATCTGACATTATATAGACCAAATTTAAATATTTGGCAAATAAATCCATGATCAAGTTAAGTGTTACCTTTTCAATAATCTACATGAATATACATTACATTATTACATTACATTACATGTCATTTGTTAGACGCTTTTATCCAAAGCGACTTACATACATTCAGTACTGTGGGCAATCCCCACAGGAGCAATTTGGGGTGAAGTGTCTTGCCCAGGGACACAACGACATGCTGACTGCAGTGGGACTCAAACTTGCTACCCCCTGATTCAAAGTCCAGCACTCTATCCACTGAGCCACAGCCGCCCATATACATGTTGGTAATACAGGAGAGTTATACATATTGCTAGTGTTGCAGGGCGAAACTGTGGGTAGTAAAAGTTTAAAAGTATTACATTTTATCTTGTACATGTTGTGACTTGACATTCTTGTCCTAACCTGAATTAAGTGAATCTACTTTTGATGGATTACAGTATTTAATCCATTTAATTTCCCCCTCTGTCAATAAACCATGTAAGCTTGCATCCTGCGCTGCCCAATATTCAATTAAGATACTTTCCAATAACCGTGTGAGTCAATGACAGGTTTGG